GTGTGTGTGTGTGTGTGTGTGTGTGTGTGTGTGTGTGTGTATTTTTAATAGAGATGGGGGTCTCACCATGTTGTTCAGGCTGGTCTTGAACTCCTGGCTTCAAGTGATCTGCCCACCTCAGCTTCGCAAAGTGCTGGGATTACAGGTGTGAGCCACTACAGCCGGCCATGTTTGTATATTTTTAAAGAGATGGGATCACGCTCCTCTCTTGCCCAGGCTGGAGTGCAGTTTTGTGATCATGGCTTACTGCAGCCTTGAACTCCTGGGCTCAAGCAGTTCTCCCACCTGTCTCTGGAGTAGCTAGGACTACAGGTATACAGTCCTGCACCTAGCCTGGCATATGTTTTTTTGTTTTGTTTTGTTTTTTAATTTTTTTCTTTCAAGGGATGGAATCTCACTTCGTTGCCCAGGCTGGTCTTGAACTCCTGGCTCTTGAACCCCCATCTTGGCCTCCCAAAGTGCTGGGATTACAGGCATGGGCTGCCATGGCCGGTGTCATTTTATTCTTAATATAACTTTATTGGGAAGGAGATAGGGAATAGGCTTTTAGTAAGTGGCTCTCTACTTAGGACCTGTGTCTTAGGGTGAGTTATATAGTCTGTTTTGGAGACAGGGCCATGTACTGTTGCCCAGGCTGGAGTGCAGTGGCGCTATCACAGCTCCCTGCATCCTTGAACTTCTGGGCTCAAGTGATCCTCCTGCTCAGCCTCCCAAGTAGCTGGAACTACAGGTGCACATCACCACGTCTGACTAATTTTTTTAGTTTTATATTTTGTAGAAATGGGGTCTCAATATGTTTCCTGGGCTGGTCTCAAACTCATGGCTTCAAGCCATCCTTCTGCTTGACCTCCCAAAGTGCTGAGATTATCAATGTGAACCATTGCACCTGGCCTGTAGAACCTATTTGTGTTTTGGATTAAACTTCTCAACTTTGGCACTATTGATATTTTGGCCCACGTAGTTGTTTATTTTAGGAGTCTGTCGTGTACATTGTGTAGGATGTTTAGCAGCATCCTTGGTGTCTACCTACTAGATGCCCCTCTTGCCCTGCACAGATCACAACAATAAAAAATGTTCCCTTGGAGAGCAAAATTGCTCCTGGAGAACCACCGAGGTAGATAATAATAGTACCTTCATCATAGTCTGAAGGTTAAATCAGTTAATATACTTAAAGTGCCTGGTTCATAGAAGCACTCAGTGAATGATGTACTAGACATTTTCATGCATATTTCTCTCAAGCCTCAGAAACCATCCTAAGAAGTACATACTGATATTATCCAGTTAATGGTTGAGGAAACTGAGGCACTTATTTAGCTTTTTCTCATGATATTTTTCTTTTTAAAAATTATTTTTGATGTTAAGATAACTATAAACTTTGTTGAACTAGAGCAGAATTAAAAATTAAAAATCTTTGCTGATAATGTTACAGTATATTTAACTTTGTTCTCATTCTTTTAAAGACAAGTCTTGTTGTTTTATAGGCATTTTGGAGATAAGTTTTTAATTCCTTTGGCATTGAATGGAAAGCATAGTTATTGGGGAGAGACAGACTTTAATTATACTTGATTTTGTTTATTTTTTTAAGACAGTTTTACTCTTTTCCCTCAGGAAAAGAGTAAAATTGCAATCTTGGCTCACTGCAACCTCTTTCTCCCGGGTTCAAGCGATTCTCCTGCCCCAGCCTCCCGAGTACCTGGGATTACAGGCCTGTGCCACCATGCTTGGCTAATTTTTGTATTTATTTTATTTTATTTTTTGTAGAGATGGGGCTTCACCATGTTGGCCAGGCTGGTCTCAAACTCCTGACCTCAGGTGATTTGCCCACCTTGGCCTCCCAAAGTTCTGGGATTACAGGTGTGAGCCACTGCTGCTGGCCTCTATACTTGATTTTAGAAATGAATTACCTCTCAAATTTACAAAGAGTAATAGAGTAGATTTAGTTACTCAAACAAATGGGACATGGACAAATATGTCTTATATGAAATAGTTAATAATGATACTTGTATTAATGAA